CTGGTGCAAGTGTCTTCCATCACATTATTGACATATGTACCAATCCAGGATATTTACAAGGCAGCAACTTGGTCAGTACACTATCCATTTGCATGTGAGAGATGATGCTCTTTCAGAAGAGCAGTGCTTCATTCGGCAACTCAGTGATCTCTGACCCCTACACCAGATAATTGCTTGGGAGTCACCTACTTGGAATTGATATAAGCAATCACTCAAAGACCCACCCACCTCCCCTCTGCCAGAGTCTTCTGGGAAAAAAAGGAAGTGAACGGTGGGAAGGTTGGCTGTGGTGTATATACAGTGCCATAATGGTGCTCCTCCAGAGGGCTCCACAGCTGACCTATGAGTACTACTAGGGGAAAAACCTTCCAACAACTGTGTATGCAACACACACACTTGAAGAAGAAATATACAATACAAAAAGCAAAAGTATAAGAAGGTAACAAATATATTTAAAAGTGTTACATCATAGTGTGCCTCTCCCTTGTTGTTGGCCCTAAGAGTCATTAGCATGGAGAAAACAGATTTAAAGATAAGACATGGAGACAGATAAGGATAATTCTCTTCTCAGCACTGACATGGCCCTCAACAGCCATTTAGGAGCCAAAAGATGTCTTGGAAAGGACTTTACAGAGGGTTTCTTACAACTCTTTGCCCTTTTGAAAAGCATACTGAAGGAAGAGAACAGCTTTCATCTCCTCCTCCACATCTGTTGGTATGTCTGCTACTGAAGGGGTTGGTCTAGGCCATCAAAAAAAGATGCTCAAGTTCCATAATAATTATTGCAGCTAATTCTTCAAATAACCTCTAATGGATGGTTTTGTATGTGCAACTATGGTGCACATTACCCATAACACCTTCCCATAGGTTGTGGGAGATATCTGCTGAGACCATTCAGTGAGGCATGGAGTTTTCAGATTTATGGTACAGATTGTACAATCCAAAATGTATTTTACTCCACGGAACTTCCCCACATTTTGGATGTACTAACTCTCCAGACCACAGCACAGTTGTTTAATGCTGTGTCTCAGGAATCTTTAACTAAAAAATTCATTCCAGGGGGTTTGAATAAGAATGCTGTCATGGGGATTGGAAACTTCTCAAAAGACCACAAAACAAACGAATGGATAATAAACAGCCATTGAATGTTAGGGAAGTGCCTAGTGGAGAAGAATATTGCTGAAGTGATCAATGTAGAGAGAAAGTCTTATTTAATACAGTAATTCCTCTCTTAATACGTGCCCGCTTAACACGTTTTCATGATAGCAAGATTTTTTTGGGGGGAGGGGACATTTTTCGAACACCACGACCGTCCCTGCAATAACGTGATTTTCCCGACCGGCCGGCCAGTCGCCAGCAGCTGCATGGGGCTTCCCTTGCCTTCCTGCAAAGCAGCAGCGGTTCGCCGCGCCATTCCCCGGCGACCCCCTCTGGCCGGATGCCTCGCTCCATCTCCTCCACCCCCTGCTTGCAGCCGGCAATTGGGTTTCCCCAGCTGGCTGGTCACCAGAAGCTATGCGGGGCTTCCCCTGCCTCCTTGCAAAGAGGTGGAGGTTCGCCGCTCTCCCCGTGTATTAAACTGACAATTGAATAGAGCTACACTGACCAAATCGGTTTGATAAGTGCTTCAGGAAAGGAATAGCACCTAATAAGGCATAGTCTATTTGACTCATTTGATAATGTTGCTAGATCACAAACTGAAATGAACCCGGTCATATTTCCTTTAATGTGTGGAATTCCATTTTTATGCATCTCAGCAATTTTTTTATAGTTGGCAATCCCATATGAAACACACCCAACACATCACTATAAAAGAAAACCCTTTTTTGTTCAGGGTTTAGCAACCAAAATCTCTTCAAAGGGTAATGTAGCCCAAGGTCCAGTGTGTTTCAGCAGCAGACCTGGGAACTACAAGTTGTGGACCACAAACTGCGGCATGTTGGGAGAACTTCCTGGTTCCTGCCAGGATATAACCTCTACCTCCAGCAGGGTCTCAGCAAGGACTGTGCTAGAAGCAGCACACAGGCTGCATGCTGAGAGAAGGGGCTGCTGAACTGTTTTCTTCTTTTATGTTTTTTACAGAATAAAGCCTGATCCTGGTGATTTGTCAGAGTGGGTCTGGTTTGAGGTGCAGTCACACATACACAACGCAGAGCACACCAAGCAGCCTCAGGCCAAGCCCCCCCCTCCACAGTGGTGTAAGAAGTCACAAGCTTCCCCTATGCTGAATAACCTCACACTGGGCTAGCCAACAGGAGGGGTTACAGTAACATCACCTGTTTCACCTATTGCTAACCACCCTTTCACAACACTCTTAAGAAACATGGCCCACCCAAAGTCACCAATTCCAGAACAAAAGGAGATATAAAGGCAATATAACCCATAACTGGCAGTCAGTAAAGCTTTTTGTGATGGTACTGAATAATACAAAGTATAAACAGCTGCTTGAGTCTAATCAACTACACCTCTGCACAAAATCTAACAAGCCAAACAGGCAATAAAGTCAAGCGGGTAGGAAACTCAGTGAGGAGGTGGTGCCTGCAGCATTCTCCCAAGAGAAATCTTCTTATTGCACCTATTACATCCTGTAAATAAAATATACAAAGTTATACAAAAGGTTCACCTAAATCAAAGGATAAATTATTCCTAATGAATTTTCACTCTGATTTTTTCTAGCCATGTGTGGAATAACATCCCAATCTCTCCTGAGCAACCCCACAAGCACCAAGCTCACAGGGAACACTGGTCCTAATCAATGGAAGATTTCTCCCTTTGTGGAGCTACATGAAGCTTTCTGAATGCATGGGTATGTATTCCTGGCTGAGCCCAGTACTGAAGTTAGAAGGCAAATGCATTCTCCAAGTGAAGGCATGTTTATTGCACGACTGACCAACAGCAAATACCACTTGGGGGATTTTTCTGTTGACAGTGGGAGCTGTTGGCAGGTTTGTTAAACTATTGATTCAATCTTTGCTGAGCTTCTAAAATCTCAGTGAAAACCTCACTTCTTGTACAGGGATGGCTATTGCTTCGAGATCCCAATAAAAACACGAACAAACAAAACCCTTTTTCTGATTTCAAGTTTGTTTTAAAAAACCATAGCAATTACATTATTCTATATCTATAGTCTTCATTCCTCTTAGCCTCACCTTTCCATGGCATATGATTTTTACACACAAACATTTTCATTCATTCATTCTCATTTGTCTGTCAAGTCCATCACTGACAGAGAAGGAAATTATTATAACTGAGTGGTACAATATAACTACCCACGCCAAGACAGAAATTCAAAGGCTCAATAGTATGTAAAATGGAAAACAATGATTGCAAGGAAAGAAACCATAAAGAAGTCACTATGCCAAACAACAGCTAGACTACAGCACTCGGGACACAGACCAAAAAGAGTAAAAAGGCCTGGCCTAGGAAAGGCTGGGAATAGCATGCAGGTCCTGTGCTGACTGAGACACAAGACAAAGCACTAAATAATAGAGTAAAGCCCTGCTCCATTACAAAACCAGAAGAGGAATCTAAATATATTCTTTCCTAATTCTACAAGTAAATTATTACACAAATGAGCTGTTCTATGCATGAATCTAGAGGTGATTATACTTTTACACACCCATTACAAAAGCACCAAGCCTCCCTGTGGATTTCCACCAAGTTTCCTGTTGTCTGTCCTTGGGGCAGGATTGGCAGTTTTCTGTAACTTGTAAAGCTATAAACTCAGGTCCTATAGTGTCGATATAAACTCAGGTGCAGACCATATAAATAGACAAAGCCTGGATCTCATAGATACTGTTTAAACTGTTTCAAAAATCCAAAAAAACCCTCTTCTTTAAATGTAGTTTTCATAAGGAGGACAGTAAAAACTATGAATTACCTCAAAAGACCAGATCAGAAGCACCACATTAATGATCACTTTAGACATCATACGTAAGGAACCTCAGAGTCAAAGTATCTTTTGCTCTGGGCATCACTTAAATTTCTCAGCAGTAGGTACTTCTGATCTTTGTAGATTTTTTTTGTGCATTAAGTAATTGAAAGTCTTGTTTCTAGCCACTGCTATTTACTGTGCATCTTAAATACACTTTGTGATCCTCCTACATTCACGAAAAAGCATAACAATCCAATCCCAGACTATCTGTGTGATGACCAAAATCCTTCATGCCCCTCTGAGGTATTTCCATGAGTTGGTGGTTTCTCATTAGCAATTTGGACCTAATGGAGAATCAAATGGAAGATGTTCCGAACTCATAGTGAATGCTATTTCACTGAAGGTGCATGAAATGGAAATTAAAGTAATCTACCTAGAAAACCTTGCCATGTATTTTGGATTGCCTCATTAAGGACAAGAAGGCTCCAGTACATAGGAAGGAGATGCTGCAAAACAAGGTTAGAGTGTTTACCTTTTATACACACAAAAAAACCATAAGAGCTTGGAGAACTGTTTTCACAAGTGGCTGGGTGAATTATCGGCAGCACACATTTTAACTACCTGTATTTCCCCCCCTTTGCTTCTGAAATCCTCTGTTCAAAGTCCATAAAATGTACTAATAATTTAGGATTCTCTCAATCAGGAAAAATGTTCTTGAACTCTTGGGTCACACCCAAACAGTACTAATGAGCAACTGAGACTCTGCCATTCATCTACTTGTGAAATGCCACAGGATTTTATTCTCTTCCCTGAGATATTCAATATTTATATGCAGTTGCTAGGAGTAAAAGTGGGACTTCATGAATGACATTATTAGATAACACTACCTTATTAGTTACAATCTACATCCCAGCACTATCAAAAAGTTATTCCAGTGCCTGGTGGAGATAAGTTTGTGAATATGGAAGAGCTGGCAGAAGTTAAACCCCAACATGCTACTATGGTGGCATTTTTCTTGGTGGAGGATATATGTCCATAAACTATGAACAGAGTTTGCCACTTACGGTGGCTTTAATCCTACATGCTGTCACTAGTCTCTCATGATGATGGATTTTGGAACACTTACCTCCATTTTTACCCACTGTGCGGAAGCATTTCCAGAAGGTCTGTAGGAAGGATGCCCTATTGTGGGGGGTGGCTTGGATGAAACTGAATTCTCGGAACAAAACGTGAGTTCCTTGGTGCACACTGTTAAAACTGCAGAAATAAAATCAAAATGAAAGTCAAATGTGATCTTCGATGTGGAAGAAAACACTCTCTCACATAGGTAAATGATCCCAGCTGTTACAAACAACAAGGAAACCACAGGCAAAGTTACATGTTGTGAAACAAATCTCTAAACCATACCACAGTTCACATACATCAGTTTTCTAGACAGAAGTCTAGCTGCATGAACTGGATCTCAAATTCTCAAATCTGTGATTCATGGGCTCTTTAAACTTAAGACAAATTCATTCTAAAATATCCACAGATTCCAAGTGCCCAAGAGCCACTGGAAAGCTTAAAAGACTGAGGACACACCTCATCTTGCTGCGCTGGAGATAGATCTTCTGGCATTCACTTTAGAACATAAGAATGGCCGTACTGGGTCAGACCAAAGGTCCATCTAGCCCAGTAGCCTGTCTGCCGACAGTGGCCAGCACCAGGTACCCCAGAGGGGGTGGACCGAAGACAATGGTCAAGTGATTTGTCTCGTGCCATCCATCTCCAGCCACTGACAAACGAAATGAAGCCGCGATTTAAATAATCGCGGCTTCATTTAAATTTAAATGGCTGCCGGGCTCAGCGTGCTAGTCTGGATGCTCCCGTGCCGACCTGAAAGCCCTTTATCGACCACCCCGTTATGCCTTGTAGGATGAGGTTTACCGGGGAGGACAATAAAGGGCTTTCATGTCAGCAGGGGAGCGTCCAGACTAGCGCGCTGAGGCGACAAAACGGCGGACATGCG